GGGGGCTCTCGTCATGAGAGTGCTTCTTTGGCATTGACCTCCCTGGGCGTTGCTCAGGCTGCCATCCTGTGCGATCTCCAGGAAGGTTCAAGAACTGTTATTTCCCTTCGCCGACAGAGTAAAGCAAAAATTCCTAGTGAAGTTTTTTTGTTATACATTCTGGCAATCAGTCATTCACACCTTAGTAAGACTTTAAGGCACTTCACTTTTCTTTTTCTTTTTTTAAAAAAATATATTTTATTGATTTTTTACAGAGGGGAAGGGAGAGAGATAGAGAGCTAGAAACATCGATCAGCTGCCTCCTGTACACCCCCTAATGGGGATATAACTGGAATTGAACTTGGGACCTTTCAGTCTGCAGGCCGATGCCCTATCCACTGAGCCAAACCGGTTTCAGCTAAGGCACTTCACTTTTACTCGGTATTTACTACCCTGATGATGCTCCATATACTGTGCCGGTACTTTGGTGAGTTAACAAGAATGACTAGGATCTAGTCTTTGCATCTTGGAGCGCACCGGGTGACCGGAAATGGTGGGAAGATGAACATGCTAATAAAGATCCCAGCATTCATCACCTGTAGCGTGGGTCCCTAGCGCACAAAGTGCAGCAGGAGGATGAGAAGAAGAGGCTCTTTCTGCACCAGGGATCTGGGCATTCCTAACGGGAATGTGACTTGAGCTGAACCGTAGAGGAGGGGAAGGACTTGAACAAGAAGTCCTTCTGCAGGGACCACTCCCAGAAGCCTGGTTGGGAAGAGAGGATAAGGGAGACCCGGGCTGGGGCAGGGTGAAAGCTGGAGGGCTGGGGCCTGGGGGGCAAAGGGGCGGCAACACCAGGCAACCCCCGGAGAGCTTGGAGAAGCAGGTCCCTCTTCACAGGCAGCTCTAGAAATGCCCGCTGAGCTGGCACTGACAGACTCGAGCAAAGGGCAAACCACCACTCGGAACTTCTTACTGGGAATGCGACCACATGGCTAACGGAGTTTGGGACCGCCTAGCTGTAACGGTGAGAGGAGTGATTTTACAGTATGGGACCCCGGCCAAAGAAAAGTGGTCTTTTCAAACCCAAACAAAGCCAGGTTGAGGTAAGGCTCTCACAGAAGAAGTTTAAATTTTTTTTAATGTTAGCAGAGTCATTGTTAGCGGCTAGACTAACAACAGCACACACTCTGAGACCTGTGACACAATGGAAGGCTTGTGCCTGGGGTGGGGATGGGCTCACCTTTGAGCTCACTCCTGCCCACGGGTGCACGCTGGCTTTAGTGGCACCTACGACCCTCATTGGGCTCCTCTCGCCCTCCTGTGCCCTCCACCCTGCGTATGGGCCTTCAGTCATTTATGCAGCACCACCAGGCCTGCAGCAGGGAAATGCTCCAGGTAGCCGCTAATCTGGAAGTTATTTTCTTTCCCAAAACAGCCAGGGTGGTCCGTATCAGTGGTTTCCAGCTTTTTTATTTCATGAGTCAGTAAAATTAATTTTTAAAAATCTGGGTGGTAATCGGGGGTGTGTGAGGGGGGTGGGGGGACATGGGTTTGCCTGTTTTTTATTTTGCCAAGTCAAGGCATAAAACATAACCACTCACATCTACCCTCTTCATACACACACACACACACACACACACACACACACACACCTTGGTACCAAAAACAAGCACACCATAATCTCAGAATAGAGGATAGTTCTTTCATTAAAACCTTTATTAAAAAGAAAATCTCTGAGGAACAGAATAAACTGGTGAATATAATAGAATCAGGGGCAGAGCATGGGAGTGGACTGGCAATTCTCAGGGGGAAAGGGGTGTGGGTATGGGAAGAGACTGGACTAAAATAGTACACCTATGGATGAGGACTGTGGGGGGGGGGAGGTAAGAACAGAGGGTAGGGAGGGAACCTGGTGGAGGGGAGCTATGGGGGATAAAAGAGAAACAATTGTAATAATCTGAGCAATAAAGATTTATTAAATTAAAAGAAAAGAAAATCTCATTTCACTGTCCTTTTCTCACTGTGCAAAAGAATGCTGAGATGTTTTTCGAAGGGGGTGGCTCTGCAGAGGTCTGGCCTGCATGAGTCCGCTCTCTGGCTGCAGAGGATGAGAGCTCAGAAGCGAGGTCACCTCTCAGGACAGGGGTGCAGGCAGAGGCAGGAGCCAGCACTGCCCGGCTGGTTGGGAGGCGGGTCAGGAGGCAGGCTCAGCTCAAGCTCAGGTGGTGTTTGAAAGCAGCGGGAGATGGAGGCTGAGAACTCGGTCTTTTCAGGGACCATATCTACCTGTCATGGAGCCTGTGACGGCCCAGCCCGTTAGGCCCTCTGTGGACGGGCCTTTAGGCATGTAAGACCGCCAAGCACACAAAACCGGGATGAAGTTTTAAAAGGCTGGAATAGAACCTGGCCAGAAACACGTCTGTTTTACCTCCCTTTAGGCTAAGGCTTTCATTAATCCCAAGTGGGGGCAGAGGGAGGGGAAGGATCGATGATTAATAGTAACTGAAATACCTACTCTGAGCCTACTCCATACCAAGTACATACAGGGGTGGGCAAAAGTAGGTTTGCAGTTGTCATTATGCAAAACAGAGTTTATTCTTGCATATTATTTATTAATTATTGTATTATTTCTTGTATAACAACTGTAACCCTACTTTTGCCCACTCCTCCATATACTGAATAGCTACTATGTTCTATGCCAAGATCTCTATCTACACTGTATCATTTAATCCTTAAGTTCATGAAAGAGGCATTCCAAGCAGTTGCATTTAGTTGGAGAAAACAAGTCTGAGAGAGGTCAAGTTCTTTGATGTCCAAATGGTCATTGTGCCCAGAGTCTCTCCCACCCACCTCACAGCCTGCCCGCTGGGGTTTGGGCATATTACATGCCCCAACCCAGTTTTCTTCTCTACACGGCTGCCCCTGGAATAAGATTTAATAAACAAACTCTTACTGAAATGTCAATGACTAGCCTAGTCTACTTAGTTCTTTCCAAGTCCGTCCCGTTGCAACAGGCTTACATTTGCTTAATCCGAAAGAAGAGGGCTGTAAGGTGAAATCTCGGGCCTGGGTAGCAAGCCAAGGGATATATCTAAAGCTAGAGCAGGCTTCCTCAGCCCCCTCGGGCAGCTGGCCATCTGTTTGTCATTTAAAGAACAAATAATGCTATCAGCAAACAAGTCTTTGAACATGTGAAAGCATGTATTAAAAAATCAGCCATCCAAATAAATGAAAAACCCAAGGATGTCATTTGAATTCCTATTCAAATTGTTCAAAGACGGGAAGATGAATTAAGGGCACGGCGGTAAAACCCGGCAGATAAACAAGGAATTTCACATCAATACTGCTGTCTAGAGAACAGAGGGAAAAAAGGAAAAAGTCCATTGCAATTCAGAAGGCTCTCAGCATAAAAGGCAAATTTTTGGTGTCCCCCAAAACACTTTGGGTCCAGGAAACTATCTGAGGGAGACATGGGCAAGACTTAGGAGAGAAACCAACCACGGTGCCCCTTGGAGACAGAGCGGGAGCTGCAGGCAGCCCGTCACCCCGGCCTGGGTGCCAGCCGGCGGGCAGGTCCGCCCAGAGGGGTTCCCTGCTCTAACGTGTGCATCTGCTTCCTCGAGAGACTGCGGAAGAGCCCGCACTGGATTTTCACAAAGATTTCTTCCAGGCCAGTGGCAGCCCTGGCCCAAGCCCCCTTCATGGGTGGTCTGTGCGCAGGAAAGTCCGAAGCAACGATAGCAAAGGAAGCAGAAACTCACAGGAACGCACACCTCGATCCAACACGGAAGGCACCCCCCACCCTGGCCAGGTGTCTCAGTTGGTTGGCGTGTCACCCTGTACACCCCTCAAAAAAGGAAGCAAAGGAATCGCCGTTGGTAGGAGAATCACACTCAGTGGGTCTCTGCACATCTCCCATGGCATCCGGCCACCAGGGACCAGTCACCCCGGCCCGGATCAGCCCAAGAGGAGCGGCCACCCCTTCTTCCTCCGAGGACCGGCCTGTGCTGTGGGAACCATGTGAGGGAAGCCGGCGGCGTGTAAGGCTCCCGGAGTGTCTCTTGACATCTACAAGCCAAAGAAGTCTCCTTTTTACTAGCAATCCTGCCAATTTAATGTGAACGAGAAATAGGTTTCTATGCAACCTTGACAGCTAGCTTTCTGGGAAGGTGTCTAATATTGGACATAAAATGGAGACATGAATCGATGGGACTCATTAATATTCATAGACAGCAGATGAAGGTTGGCGGAAAAAGTTATTTATGAAACAGGTATTGTCTTCCTCTCGCCAAAGGATTCTGTGGGAAGAGGAAGGAATTGGGTGAGAGTGCTATTATCACAGATTAGGTAGGAATTTGCAGATTTCTGAATTTATCCCCCAAAGGAAAAAAAAATATAAAGCATTTGCAAGCAAAAAAAAAAAAAAAAAAAAAAAAATTGCTGGGCTTAGAACAGTCACTGCTTATGCGCCAGGGCCCAGTAGGTATGACGAGGCTCAGACACCACCGGGAAGGAAGCGGAAGGATGCATCAGGAGGGTGGTTATGTAACAAAGGAACAGGCTGTGCGCGAAACAGGGCTCAGCTGATGTCCAGAAAGGTGGGGAACAGCCCACAGAGGATTCGTATCTCATTTATGTGACGGGATGGGAGGCAGCATAAAACTGAAGAATAGAATTTACAATTTTTCTTACATTAAATAAATACTTGTTGGGCTGCCCGAGAGTCCTTTGTGTTATTTCTGACCAGTCCGGGTAAGCTATTTTATAATCTAATAAAGATGAGAGTGAAAGTCGTTGAGTTAAGGGATCATCTCAGATCCTCAAATAAACTCTGTAAACAGCACTGTGTCCTTACACAATTAAAGGATTTATTGTTAGTCCTTATCTCCATGAACCCTTCCCTCCTTTATCTTTCCAGTGCTTTACAGGCCTGTGGAAATAAGCTGTTCTGATCTGGTGAAATTTTAAAGTGACAGATGATTTATATTTTTCTTCTTTTTATTTTATTTTTTCTTCAGAACTAAGCAATGAGAATGGCTGAGTGAGAACCTTAGATGGAATAAGATCTTGAATTGTTTCCTGGTGCATAAAAAGCACCAAGGATTTTGAAAGGGGAATTTTCTGCTGACTGTAATTTAAAAAATAATTCAGACTCTACCCCCACCCCCAGCTGTATCTCGTTGCTTGGGCATCCTTCTGTACACCAAAAGGTTGTGGTTTTGATTCCAACTAGGGTACAAACCTACATTTCGGGTTCAATCCCCAGTCAGGGTGCAGACAGGAGGCAACTAATTGATGTTTTTCTCTCTCTCTCTTTCTCTCTCCCAACCTCTCTCTAAAATAAATAAACATATACTTGGATGAGGATTTAAAAAAAAAAATCCAGTTTCCTTATGCATGTACCCAGTTCACTGTAAGCAGCTATGTCCCCAAACGCAAATAGGCCTCGCCATGTTTGCATCAGCGATAGTCAGTTGTAGGGGATGCCAGTGTGCTTTCGTGGGAACAATTTTGATGACCTTTTTCCTGCTGGGCGTGGGGAGGACTTCCCGATAGATCGGTGTGGTTATCGGTGTTGGCTCCAGAGCCCGGATGGGGAGAAGGCACCCTCCTCACCCCAGGAACTCCCAGCCCTGAGCGCTGAGCGCTGCTCTCTAGACCTGCGGCCCATCGCCGTGAGCATCAGGTGCCCTGGCTTAGCAATCCAGCCCAGGTGAGACACTTCTACACCAAACACGTGATGTTAGCCCCTAAGGTAAACGAGCCAATGCAGGCTTCCCGGGCGGCTTTCCCTTTTAAAAACAAATCCTGTCCTTCCGCAGCACCCCAATATGCAACCGGTGAGATCAGTTTATTAAGAAGCTATCATTTGGAGAAAGACAGTAATGTGCAGAATGGCCTCAGAAATGTACTCTCTTTTTTTTTTTTTATTTTATTGATTTTTTACAGAGAGGAAGGGAGAGAGATAGAAGCTAGAAACGTCGATGACCAGCTGCCTCTTGCACACCCCCTACCGGGGATGTGCCCGCAACCAAGGTACATGCCCTTGACCAGAATCGAACCTGGGACCTTTCGGTCCGTAGACCGACGCTCTACCACTGAGCCAAACCGGTTTCGGCTGTACTCTCTTCTTGTTTACAATGCGGTTCAGCTCTGCTTTTTCCTTCACTCCAGCCCTCAGGTGCCCTCAGCACTAATCACAGCTCAAGGTGAAGCTTCCAGAAACCACAGAGGGCCCGGGTTTTGGTCTGCTCAGAGCCCCGAGGCAGATGGCCTCCTCCCCTCTGTGGCTTTCGCTCCGAGCGGCCAGGGACTGGCACCTCACCATGGAGTGGGCTTTAGGTGCCTGCCCGGCAGGTGGCTGCTCTCCCATCGTGGGTGTTGGTCGCTGCCTTTCTCTGGTTAGCGACGGTGACTCCCCAGCCCAGACAATGTAGACTCTGGAGGATGTTGGCTTCTGGAGCTTCGTTCTCGAAGCCGCCCTCCTCCATACCTGCACAGGTGACGCAGCTGTGCTGGTACGGTCTGTGTGCACGGAAGCTCACACGTGTGACCCTGGGACCAGGCCTTCTTCGTAGTCTCCAAACCAGGCCACAGCCCAGCCCCCACCCCTCACCACATACTGCCTGACTGACAGCTATCTCAGCCGCACTGCGAAAGGCAGCTGGTCCATGGGGTCAGCCCCATAAACCCCTGGCTTCTCTTAGCTGCCGCTAGTTCTGCACAAAAGTCTTCCCTCTCTAAACAGGAAAAAAAGAAAAAAAGAAAAATAAAAAAAGAAAAATAAAAAAATAAAATAAAAAAATAAAATAAAATAAAAAAAAGAAACAAGCAAAAGTCTCCGCTCTCTACGTTTCTGCGTCCCGCGGTGGGGAAGCGAAGACAAAGTCACCATCTTCCCTCGCTCAAGGATGAGCTCCCACTTTCAGCTGCAACCTCTGGCACGCCCTGAGCCTGGGCCGCCCGAGCCTCCTGCCTGGTGAGCCTGACTGGGGGTCTGAGTCTGTCCATGGGGTGCAGGGAGTGAGGCGGTGTGCACAGCCTGACTGGGGGTCTGTGAGTCTGTCCTCGGGTGCAGGAAGGTCTGTGAGTCTGTCCTCGGGGTGCAGGAAGGTGAGCGGTGTGCACAGCCTGAGGGTCTGTGAGTCTGTCCTCAGGTGCAGGAAGGTCTGTGAGTCTGTCCTCGGGGTGCAGGAAGGTCTGTGAGTCTGTCCTCGGGGTGCAGGAAGGTCTGTGAGTCTGTCCTCGGGTGCAGGAAGGTCAGCAGTGTGCACAGCTGAAGGGTCTGTGAGTCTGTCCTCGGGGTGCAGGAAGGTCTGTGAGTCTGTCCTCGGGTGCAGGAAGGTCAGCCGTGTGCATAACGTGGGGTGCCCCCACTCCCCTCTTCCAGCCCAGAAAAGTGAAGCGACCTTAAAACAATCAGCCAAAGGGACCAACGGCCTGTTTCCCGTCCCTGCTCCTCGCACAAGCCACAGCCAAACGGGAAGGAGCCGGCAGCCGGGAAACCATGGGGTCCCCGGGGGGCACCTGTCCCCAGCCTCACACTTCACGGCGCCTCTCCCAGGGCTGCTGGGCCGCGGACAGGGCCCTGGCTCTGCCATGACAACACGCGGGCTGAGTCCCGGCTCCTGCACTTGCTGGTGGTGTGACCTTGACCAAGTCCTGGGCAGAGCGATCTCAGGGAGCGGAAGTGCCCCGCTGGCACAGAGGGCTGTTAGGGTGCCCGCCTCTGCAGCGGTCCCGCATCCCCAAAGCGCCGAGTGACCCACGGCCCCGTTAGTGGGGTGCTCAGTGGGGTGAGCTGGGGGTGGGGGTGGGGGCTGAGTTTGTGATGCCCACGTCTCACCCACGCAGATGGATCAGGCAGCTGAAATTAATGACATTCTGAGCCACCGCAGTGCTCATCTGCTTAACAATCCAATTTCTAGGACGTTTTAGAAGTTGTTAGCTGGCTGCCAAAAATGAGGATCATTAAAAATAGATTCACAGCTGTTCAGGAAGCCAGAGATATAATTTTACCTTCATTATGCCTTATTGCAGATGTTATTGATTTAATCTCATTGCATTTTACCGTGTAATACCAATCCGTACCGTCTTTGACTTGGAAATCAGCAACTGTATTTATTCTTCTTCTTCTCAGAGCAGAAGGTAGGCTCAGGCTGACAGCCACACGACACGGGTTCTGGGTGGCAGCACCGGTCACGCCTGATGGCCAGGGCTCGGAGCGGGTTTAGCTCAGCGACGGAGAGAAAAATACTCTCATAAGTGAGGCAACGGCTCCCTTTAAGAGTGTGTCTGTGCACACGAATGGTTTAAGTCAGCGGTCCGCAAACTGCGGCTCGCGACTGATGAGTTGCCAACTGACCACTGTTGACTGATGAGTTGCCGACTGACCACTGGTTTAAGTCACTAAATCGAAAGAACCCTGGGTTTTTGCTCTCATGTTCCCAAAGATACTTGTCTCAGGGAATCTTTCACGCTGCTGTCAATGCTTCTGTCCTGAAATTTTCACACTGAAATGGCTAACGGGCAATTCAGTCTGGAATAGATTGGGCTGCGTTAGGCTATTGTTTTCCAGGATGTCTTCCTCAGAACATTTGTCTGGAGATACTCTGATTTTTTTTAAAGGTTTCTGAACGCAGCCGGTTTGGGAAGCCCTGCGCGATAAGCTTTCCCTGAAGGAGATGTGGGGTACGGAGCACACGAATGGCTCCAGACGGGAAAGAGACGTGGTTGACGTTGCTTAGCCCAGCGTTTTCCAAACTAATTTCATGCCAAACGTTTGTTCTCCCCACCCATCCGCATCCCTCAGTGCTGGTGCGCCGAGGAACCCCCTTTGGGAACCACTGCTCTAAGACAGATCTGGAAGAAGGAAGGCCAGCTCAGTCCTGGGAGTGCCACACCTTTGGCGACTGGCACGGTGGCCGCCATCTGAGCCCAAAGGAGCAGCCTGACCTACGGAGGCTCTGCACCGGCCTGGTGCTGCCTCACCTTTTCCTCCCTTTCCTGTTTCACTGCCTGAGCTGCCAGACTCAGTCTATCCCAGTGCCCCAACTTCCTGCCTCCCCACAGCGCCCACCCCCACCCAGCCCTGCCCCAGGAGAGCAGGGCTCCACTGGCCACACCACCAGGCCCATCACCAAAAGGCAGTGGGGTCAGGAAGGCCCATGATACTCTATATTTACAAGGTTCAGCCACTTCTTCAGTGAAGCAGCCACGCACTAGTGAGAAAACTTGTTCATACGATGTGCTCCAAAGCCTGACCTATATAATGAAAGGCTAATATGCAAGTCCACCGAACAGCGGGACGACCAGTCACTGTGATGCGCATTGACCACCAGGGGGCATACGCTCAATGCAGGAGCTGCCCCCGGTGGTCAGTGCACTCCCGCAGGGGGAGCACCGCTCAGCCAGAAGCCGGGCTCACAGCTGGCAAGCACAGTGGCAGTGGCGGCAGCACAAAGGACCCAGAGGCAAACATACCCCGAGAGGGCAAAGGCAGGCTGAGGGAGCTCCCCACTTCCTAGTGCATGAATGCCGTGCACCAGGCCTCTGGTATGATATAAGGCACAAAATTATTCCAAGTTTGTACTATTTTTTGTAACATTCATATGTCTCATGGCCTGCAGCCAGCCATTGAGGTCTTGGTGACCAGTGGGCATAGCACGCACTAAGATGCAAACCATTTCTGTCTATATTTGTAACAACTGAGAAAAGAGCCTCATGTTGCCAATCCTGGCATTTGAAGGGGATCCCGGGCACCATTTGGTTTGATGAGCTCACACTAGAGTAGACATCACACTGCAGCTGACGTCGCCAGGGTGGCATGACAAGGGTTTTTATCCGCTGCCTCCACTGCCTTGCACACTTGTTTGTTTGTTTTTTAAATATATTTTATTGATTTTTTTACAGAGAGGAAGGGAGAGAGACAGAGAGCTAGAAACGTCAATGAGAGAGAAACATCGACCAGCTGCTTCTTGCACACCCCCTACCGGGGATGTGCCCGCAACCAACATACATGCCCTTGACCGGAATCGAACCTGGGACCTTTTAGTCCACAGACCGACGCTCTATCCACAGAGCCAAAACGGTTTCGGCTGCCTTGCACACTTGTACATGCCGTGAGCTCCAGGCTGGCACAGGCCTGTGGAAACCTCATGTGCTGTGTCCGTGGCAGATATTTCAGA